GAAACCGGCTGCGGAAGAGGCACTACAACTGGCTCGGGCTGAAGCGCGGAAGAAGGCTGTTGTAGAGGCGCAGAAGAAGGCGGAGGGTGTTGCGCAGAAGATGTCAGAGGCCGAGGAGCAGAAGCAGGCTGAGGCAGACGCACGAAGGAAGCCAGATGGAGAGGACGGTTCAGATGGGAATAAAATGGTACAGACAGAGGGACGGGAGACGGCGGGTGCTGAGGGGCACATCATCGCAGAGGAAGAGGGGCAGCATAACGAGGAGGCAGCGTCGCAGGTATTCGCATACCGAGAGACGCAGAGCATGGCAGAGACAGGGCGTCAAAATACTATGGAGGAGGTTCGTGTCGTCCCGGAGGCTGGAGTGGGGCACTACGAGGGAGATGCGCTGGAAACAGAAGAGGAGCAGAATGAGGAGGATACGGTACATCCGGCAGTACGGATATTTTTGGGAGGAAGTCCGACGCGGGGACCAGGAACCGGGGTAGAGGGGCCATGGAGGGTGGCAGACGATGGGGCGCCTAGGGATACAGTGGGTCTCAACAGGCAGAGGCGGCCCACCCTTCACCAGAGAGCAGTGGAGAGGAATCTCGGCCAAGGCGGGGTGGCAGAAGCGTTTTGGCAGGTAGAGTGGGTCGAGGCAGAGACGGCAATACGGCGGATGCTGCATCGGACGAGTACAGTCCTGGTCGAACAAGGTGACAGGTTCGTCGAGGCCGAAAGCTGGGACATAAGCCCGGCAGAGGTAATGCGTCGTCTGACGCTCTTAGCCCGAATGGTGACGCAGACGTTCTGCAACTTGGCGGCCCGCAACAGCAGCATCAGTCGCGACGTGGCCGATCTGACCGTCCATTACTGTCGCGACGCCCTGGCCAACCTGGAAGAAGTCCGCCATGGAAACGAGGAACGGCGGCGCCAAGCTGAAACGGCGGCCAGGTTTCGCGAGGAGGTGGACACGAGACTCTCCAACTTGCAGGAGAGTATCGTAAGGGTGAGTGATCAGGTTCGCCAGTCGGGAGGGGGGATGGCGGAGGGCACGTTAAAGGGGGTGGAAGAGAGGTTGAGAGAGGTTCTGAGAGAAGAGTCTGAGCGGCGGAACAGGGATAGACTGCAGGACGAGGAGCGGAGGCAGAAGGCCATGAGGAAGGAAGCAGACGCCGCAGAGAGACGGAAGAAGGAACAACAGCAGGAGGAAGCGCGTCGGCAGAAGGAGATGAGAGAGGGAATGAAGGAGATGAAGGAGGCGATGATGAAGGAGATGAAGGCAGAAATGAAGGAGATGAAGGATGGGATGGTAAACCAGATTGTGGGGAGGTTGAGCGCGGTTTTGCGAGAAGAATCCGAGCGGCAGAAGAAGGAGAGGCAAGTGGACGCGGAGCGGCGACAACAGCAGGACGCGAAGAGGAAACAAGTGGCGGACGACGAGGAGAGACGCAAGAGGATACAACTGGACGAGCAATGGCGGAAGGAGGAGGAGGTGAAGAGGAAGGACGTAGAGGCCACAGAGCGGCGGAGGAAGAACAAACATCAGGAGGAAGAGCGACGGCAGAAGGAGGTGGAGGCGGGAATGAAGGAAGTGATGGAGGCTGTGAAGGAGATGAAGACGGGGATTACGGGGTGGAAGGAGGGGATGATAAGTGAGGTGGAAAAGCGGCTGTCAATGGTTCTGAGATTGGACGCAGAGCGGCGGCAAAAGGAGGAGCAGGGTAGGAAGGCAACGGAGGGAGATCGGCGACAGAAGGAGGATGCGCAGAGGAAGGAGGCAGAGGAAGCAGAGCGGGTGGAGAGGGAGAAACAGCAAGAGATGGCGCTCCTGCAGAAGGAGGAGGCGCAGCGGAAAGATGCAGAGGAGGCCGAGAGGCAGGAGAGGGAGAAACAGCAGGAGATGGCGCGCCTGCAGGAGGAGGACAGGCAGAGGAAGGAGGCAGAGGAGGTAGAGCGGCGTCAGAGGGCGAAACAGCAGGAATTGGACCGCCTGCAGAAGGAGGAGACGCAGAAGAAGGAGGCAGAGGAGGCCGAGCGGCAGCAGCGGGCGAAACAGCAGGAGATGGAGCGCCTGCAGAAGGAGGAAGCGCAGAAGAAGGAGGTAGAGGAGGCCGAGCGGCAGCAGAGGGCGAAACAGCAGGAGATGGAGCGCCTGCAGAAGGAGGAAGCGCAGAAGAAGGAGGCAGAGGAGGCCGAGCGGCAGCAGAGAGCGAAACAGCAGGAGATGGAGCGCCTGCAGAAGGAGGAAGCGCAGAAGAAGGAGGCAGAGGAGGCCGAGCGGCAGCAGAGGGCGAAACAGCAGGAGATGGAGCGCCTGCAGAAGGAGGAAGCGCAGAAGGAGGCAGAGGAGGCGGAGCGGCAGCAGAGGGCGAAACAGCAGGAGATGGAGCGCCTGCAGAAGGAGGAAGCGCAGAAGAAGGAGGCAGAGGAGGCGGAGCGGCAGCAGAGGGCGAAACAGCAGGAGATGGAGCGCCTGCAGAAGGCGGAGCAATGCCGAGCAGAGAAGAGGGCCAGACTTGCATCCTACGCGGAACAGCAGCGGCAACTGGAGGCAAAGGCAAAGGCGATGGCTGAAGAGACGGAACGATTGGCAAGGGAGATGGAAGAGGAGGATTTGACCATGCAGGGGGAGGGGACCTGGACAGGAGTCGAGGAGGATTTGACCATGCAGGGGGAGGGGACCTGGACAGGAGTCGAGGAGGAAATAGTTGAGGGGTTGGGGACTTTGCTGTTGATTGAGAGCGGGGAGGCGAATGTAGCAGAGGGCGTGCCTAGTGTTCCTGTACGGAATGTAGAGGTGTCCAGGAGGCGGCCTAGACAAGAGGACAGGGAGCCGGAGGGTCATGCGGCTAAGAGACGGCGTGCAGCTGGAATACAGGAGTTGATACCCATAATCCAAGGGGAAAAGAAAGGGATGAAGATCGACAAGTGTGACAACAGGAAAAACGCCGTAGTGGACGACAAGGGTAAGACTTTGGGTGTCTGCCTGCCGTTCAGGGGAAGCGGGTTCTCTCAACGGGGCGAGGGAGCTTTGCAGAAGTGGACGTCTGAGCAGACCGTCGGCGGCCGGAAGCGGAACCTCGGCTCTCACAAAACGGTGTGGGAGAGGGCATACACGGTCGCAGTCTGCTGGAAGTTCTACTTCCCGGATATTGACATGCAGGCATACGGCATGAATCCAAACCGTATAAACAAGTGGCGGGAAGACCTCGACTTCACAACGTGGCTTCCAACAGGGGTGTGGAGCGTCATCAACGAACTCCACCTGGACAAACCGGACGGGTGAGTGTTTATGTGATGTACAGTTGCAACTTCTAAACACCCGCGAAGTTCGATGGTTCTGATCTTGCGACACTGGTGTCTTGTGCAGATTCTCACTCGTTCAAACCAACACGGCTCTTCGGCAGCAGCAGGGGGATGGCTTTCAGGTAGCTGCCTGCGCTGGTGTCGGAATAACTGCGTGGCAGAAGATGGTGGGAGGCGTGGAGGGTGAAAACGGCTATTCGACGGAAGAACACGCAATCGGACTTGCCGCCACGTTGTCTGTAATGTGGGCCGCATCCACGAATGTGGACCAGACCCAGTGGGAGACGGGCGCAACAACAGCTGCACGTGGAACTTCTACGGCCATAGCATCTTCTGCTGCCAGATCGTCCACTGCTGCCACCGCCTCGTCGGATGCCTCGTCATCTTCTGCGGCCGATTTGCCCTCTGCCGTCCACAATGCCCTTGCGACGCTTGCAGCCTCGGTTGCTTGCGTTGCGGTTGAGGCGATGAGGTCGGTAAAGGATCAGGAGCATGACAAGGAAGCGTGGATTCTGCCCCTGTCGGATGCGCTGCTGAAAGCGCTTCCGGCAGAGTCGCGAGCGGCCGAGGATGCGAAGCGGATGACGAGGGTGGTGGCAAAGGTGGTGACCTCTTGGTGCCTATGCAGCATGGCATCAAGAGGCCTTCGCCAGCACCAGGGCGTCTGGCTCGGAGTCCTGCAGAAGAAGTTGGGCGGCCGGGATACCACAACAGGGGCGGATAAGGAGAAGAAAACCAAGAAATCGTCCGCGAAGGGGAACGCGACGAAGGATGCGTCGACGGAGGAGAACACCGGCACTGGCGGCCAGGATTGATAGAGGCAGACGGGTTCTTTGGAGGTCTTGTTAGTACCGCAGTAGAAATAGATTTTCCTTTTCGTTTTTTTTATTTAACCGTGTATAAATATAGGTGTTGTTGTATACAATACAATGAGAGATGTATTTTTGCTATGCAAACCTTCACTACACTAGCAAAATTTGTAGGGCGCGTTTATGGAGCTAGCAATGCAGCCGATAGAACTCGCCATCAAAGGGAGGGCCAGGCGAATAAAAAAATTGACGACAGGACGGCCTTCTACGACACTTAATCTACGTTTAATACTCGGCTTCTACGAAGAGGTAGAAGTATGGGGCTAAACAATCGCATAACATCTTGTCTAAGGGAGCACCTTGTTAAGAACGTATACGGTATTCATATGCACAGACCTTTCTGCTATGGAGATTGAATTCCTCGACGCCGAATTCTGGAGGCAAATTGGAAACGCCACTATACCGCAGAAAAACCGACGTGTTGATCATATCTACCGTCATGGATAGGATCTTCGTTGCTACTAGTAAAATATGACACTGCTTTGCCCAGAAACATATGCTGAGACTGAATAAATCCACGCAAAAGTCTACCGAGTGACCTAAGAACACACATCTACAATCGTGAGAGTGAATTCATCGACGCCGCTCTGTAGAATAAAATCGTATACGATACGACATGACTCCGCAGAATTTCGCCCGGTGTATACCATCGATGTGTGCTTCATTGCATACACCAGAAAAACATTCTACGAAAAACAGCGCGCCCAGGGAATAAGGTGGCATACAAGCCCCAAATCGGGCTTCTACAGAGACAGACAAGTGCCTGTAGTGCATATTCGGTACAACCGGAATAAAGTACCCAAATAACTAAACCGCCCCACCCTTAAGGTACATGCCCCCTCATTTCTGCTCCTTGCGTTTCGACGCTTCGCCCTTCGCCTTTTCCCGTTCCGCCTTCTTCGCCGCAGCGGTTCGTTGTTTCTCCTCTTCCGCCTTCTTCTGCGCCATGTGTTCCTTGTGGATCTCCTCCCACTCATCATCACCAAACAGCGAAGTTGCCCACTCCTGGTCGCGAAGGCCCTTCTTGACTAACAGCCAGCCCACTCTGCGTTGCGCCAGGTCGTTGACGGTCCTCTTTTCCGTCGACGAACCGGTCTTCTGTTTCTTGATGGTCGGAGTCTCATGCAGCACAGCCAGGCCGTTGGTGAATTCCGTGAAGTTGCACACGAGTAAAACCTCGTCCAGCAGCTTAATGGCCGTTGCGGTCGCCGCCTCGGAGCTGTCTTTTCTTAGCGTCTCCACGGAAACCATGACACGATGCACGCGACGCATCTTTCGCTCGCATGCACCCACAGCCATCCCGGGCGTACCTTTGACAGCGAACCGGGAATATGCGGTGATGAAGCTGGAATTCTTGTCCTTCTTCTTATACCGGTCGAACTCTGCAAAGACTTCGCGCAGTGACCGGCCGCCCATGATGAGGCTTGGCTGCACCCACACTTTCCAGGCAGCAGCAACAGTGGTGGCTTCGCGCCAAGACACAACGACCACGACGAAGAATTCTTGGACGGCAACTGGTGCTTTGGATGCGTCCGTTGCCTGGTTTCCTCCTGTTCCCGCGCTCTTCGACGATCCGTCGATCTCTGCAGAGGTGTTTGCCGCGTCATCCCTGGCCGCAACAAACCTCTTGTATGCTTCGAACTCTGCAATGACCCGAGCCTTGTCCTCTCGCTCAGCGGCGAGTTTCTCCCTCAGTTCAGCGTTCTCCATCGCCAACTGCATTTCACGTCCTCTCAAAATCCCAAGCTCCTCCCTGAGCATATTGGCGGTGAGGTGCATCTTATGCAGCTTCTCTTCTGCGGTCGTGCGAAAGATAGCGTCCTGCAGAAACCAGCACGGCAGAACTCAGCATGAACGAATAACTCCTCTCTACCACTAATAGCAGGCACTTACTGCTTTGGCGGTGGTTTGGCCGGTTGCCCGAAGCTTCTCGCCCTGGAAGTGAGAGATAGCGACCAGGTACGCCCACTTTTGGAACAGCGGGTGGTTGCACAAGGGGCTCATCTGCACATATGGATGCCTCTCGCAATTGCACCGCGGGTTTCTCACGCCGTGCTGATGGCAGAACGCCCACATCATAGCCAGATCCTGTGCAACAACGAGGCGTCCGATGCTGGCGAGGGTGTCTAGGAACCTCGCCCCCGCATAGTGCCTCTTCAGCGGATCGGTCTGCGCAGCGTTCCATTCTTCGACCTGACGGGACGAGTATGCAGGAGAAATGGGACGGTTCATCATTGCGTATCAAAATTAAGCTACGAACGCGAAGACTGTACACTAGCACGTACCTTCTTCCAACCCTCTTCGACCCAGGGGAAAATGTGAAGCCTCAAGAGATCCAAGAGCTGCAACCACTCATCCTTCTCCTTAACCTTATGCCGCGGAAGCTTGGCGCGGGCTCTGCCGATGTAGTAGTCTCCACGATCCCCGCTGAATCCTGCCAGCAGCCAAACCGGCTTGAACGGTATGCCGAACACATAACACCTCCGCAACTCCCCCTGCGCCCATCCGCCCAGAGTGCCGATATCGTTGTCGGAGCAACCGTCGTCATGGAGTTGTTGCGCTCCGGATCTGCGGAATGCATGTGTTACCTTGCTCAGAATCCATCTCGCCTTCGTCATGGCCCACTTAATCCAGGTGTTATGCGTTTTGTAGTGCATCTCGTCTTGCTTCTGCTCTCCCTGGCCGCCCTTCTTCAAAGAAAAGAAGAGGTGCGCTTTCGTCCACAAGATCGGTTCAGAAAAGTCGAGAGGCTCGACGATACCGGGGCCGTAGCGCAGAGGAACGAGTTCGTAGATGAAATAAAGCCACAGGAACACATGGCCCACTCCGCAGAGCCGCCAGTCCCTATGCCTTGCAAGAAACTGATGATTCAGCTTGTTGTTGGGGTTGGTCTTCGACTTCCTGGAAACAACGACGAGTACGAAAACGTCCAGATAGTCGTCGAGGTGTGATGTGCTCCGCGTCATGCGGACAAAGAGGTTCCCAAGTCGAATCTTTCGAATGCTGCACCCTCTTCCGAGAAATTGGTGTCCGAGGTGCATCATAACCGGGACTTGCAGAGCCTTCCAGAGAGGAAGCGAGATTTGTGACGGAGGCGTCCGCCACCAGATCTCTAGGAGCTCTTTTCGCAGAACAGTAAGATGCAGCGTCCTATACTGGCTTCCCGTATAGCAATCACCAATTGATCCACGGGTTTGATCTCGACCATCCCTGCATAGAATAGCACAGTAATTAGGTAAAGCATGTAGAACAACATTCCCACAAACAGAAAGCACCCGTATACGTTACTCACGCGACTTGCTCGTCGTTCAGATCCTTCAGCTTCACTTTGAAAAAATCCCGAGCATCCTTGATCCAGTCCTTGGTCAGTGTGATGGAGAAGCCGTAGAGCCTCGCCTCGCACCTGGCAAGGCATCCCATTGCGTTCATCTTTGCCTTGATCATTGAAGCCGTGCACCCCTTTGCCTCCTTCCCCACATATTTCTCGACGTCTGGCCGCATTTTTCCACGCAAAAACTTTGCCTGCTCGTCAGTTTCGCAGAAGAGATACTCGATGTATCGGCCGAGCCTCCATTCCGTGATTCGCGGCCCGTGCAGATGAATCTGCCACTCGTCAGAGCTGCACGACCACCCATCGTTTCCCAAGTTATTGCTCATATGAAACCCAACCTCGTCATGCAGAGAGGGAGCAAGGCTATCTGCCACAGGGACATCTACCATAGTTGCCATGAAGATGATCACCCACCACTTGAAGTGTAGAAAGTGGAAACAATAGTGCCTTCTCGTCCCGGCCTCTATCAGTCGAAGCGGGATTGTTGAACGCCGGATCCTGCTCTCCTTTTCCGCAACGTCGGTCTGCCGCTGCGCATTTCCGGGGGCCACAGCCTGCTCGACATGGCTCGCAGAATCGGGAGGTCGTCGTCGTCCCGGCGATGATTCTCCCTCCTCTTCTGCGTCAGAGTGATCTCCATCCTCCTCGTACCGTTCTTCGGGTGCACCGGGTCGTGGGCGCACTCCATCGCCTCCCGGCCCTTCACTCTCTTCTTCACTCCCCTGGACTTGAATCCGGACGGATGGTTCGTAGATACCACCCTGAAACAAATCCTCCTCGGTCGCCTCAAACTCGCTATCGTTCTCGCGATCCTGTGCGTAGTCTGGGTCAGTATTTTCAACGTCCTCTAGGTCTATTTCTCCATCCTCTGCGCCCTGGGCTGCCATGGGGCGAGAGTGGACCGAGCTGTCGGCCATTCACAGATTCCTAATTTATTAGCTAGCAACCGAGACTAGACGAAAGAATCGGATGGTGACAGCCGCGGTAGGTGGTAACGATTCGCAAGTGTGCAGATAACATAGGCAGAATGCTTAGTGGGCTAAGCGCAGAAGGCGTAAGAGAGTCTGTGCTTCAGACGTCTACACATTGGTCGTCGAACACCGCCTACAACTTGCGTTTACATATATATCTGCGCCTACAACTTGCGTATACAGGGTCGCTTGACTGTCCCGTACCGTATAGCTCTGTCACACTTTGTTTTACCGCTTTAATTCTCTACAACGAAACAACGAAAATAAGTTCCTACCATTATACGGATATAATCATCTACGGAACCCTTATGCTTGTACATAACTTTCGTGGGTTCGACGATATTATGGATTGGGAGCGAATACCTTTACCGATAAAAGAAGCCTAACGTCGAAGATGTCCGCCTACAAGAGCGGACGACCTATGACAATTGTTCCGGGCAAATACAAACAGTTCTACCGACAAAATATTATACCACACACATCTGCGCCTACATATGCGACCTAACAAGTACGACTGCAGTTATCCTAACCGGGCTGACCCAAAAAAAAAAACCCACTCTATACGACCTACGTCACTATGTCGAGGATCGCCAATGTTATGCCAGTGGGCCAAGCAGGCTTAAAAGATTACGCTGGTGGACTAACAGGTGCTGGAAGAAAAGATCTCAAAGAGCTTGCGGAACATGAAATGCAAATGAAAAGGAGCAAATGAGCACGAAAACATCTATTCATACCCATCCACCACACACAGAAGCCCGTGTCCAGATCTGGTCATCCAACCCTGGGCTGGATGATTCTCCCGCCAAAAAACAACAGTTGGGATATGGTCCTACTAGACGCTGATTGGCTCTTGCAGCCTTGGGACTCTGACAACAACTGTTGCCATGGCCACGTGTGCAGAACACCTACAGTTGGTAAACAATGACTATAAAACACAATGAGCAAACGTAGGATGCTACACTTGAACTCATGTTATTTATAAAACACATAACATCAAAGGTATAAAGGAACACACGTGCTGCAGCTTTAAGGTGGCAGCAAAAAAAAAAACCGAGTTAAAGCATATAACGACGCAAGGAAGACCAGTTGGTCGCAACCGGCCATGCGACCGGCGGTCGTCACTTGTCGGCCAAAGAGTTACGATGGCGAAACATGTCATTCGCGACAAACATCACTGGCACAAAGGGTCAGGGCAGGTTGGTTGGAACACATTTTTCACGGTCAGGTGGGCGCGGAATTGTGGGCGGCTGGCCGTGTCGTATGCGGCGGAGCCTTGCGCCCAAGCCCTTCGGAATCCGGAACACACGGATCCAAGGCCTCGGATCATGGGGCAAACGCACTCGGAACTCCGCCACAACGTCGTAAGAGTCCCCCTTCTTCTGTCCGCCTTGACTGGCAGGGCGGCCGAATGCGCGCATCACCAGCTCCCGCCCCATGGGCCTCCCACCTTTCCCGCTCCGCGCGCCCCCGGCGCTGCCTCCGCCGGCGCCTCCGCCGTTCTTGCGCGGAAAAGAGGCGTTGGGGAGCACCGCGAGCAGCGCGTCGAGGGTGGCGGCGTCCGCATTCTCGAGGAACGCGTCGAGGCGCGCCTCCGCGTGCAGCAGCCACCACCCCGCGCGCTGCTGCCAGTCCGCCGCGGCGAGCGGCAGCGCGAGGACGTTCGTCGCGGCGGTGTCGCACACGGCGCCCTTCACGATTGCGAGCGAGTCGGGCGGACCGCCTGCCGCATCCACTAGGAGTGCCTCGACGAGAAGGTTGTAATTGCCAGTGGCGTTTCTGAAACAGGGGAAGGGAAGGAAGGGGAAGGGAAGGGAGGAAGAGGGGAAGAGGCTGACTTTTGAGTCGACTCGAAAGGCAGCGCCTCGACGAGTGTAATTGCCGGTGGCGTTTCTGAAACAGGGGAAGGAAAGGAAGGGGAGGGCAGGGAAGAGGGGACGGGAAGGAGGGAAGGGAGGAATATATTCCTAATGAGCTCGAAGATCAGAGTAACTTCTGCTAAGGGGTTTCGAATATATTGAGTGCACCTGGGGCGAGGCGCGTGCGAATCCAATGTCGAGTAACTACTTCTAGTAGAGCTGAAAGACGATGCGGTAAACACACAACAGATGTGAGGCGACAGATAGGAAGGCAGCGAGGCCTACTTGAAGATGGCGAGGTGGAAGCGGCCGTCAAGGATTTTCTGATCAGCCGTGCAGTTGGCCAGTCGCGCACCGACATCGGCCGTCAGATTCCCGACGGCCGTCAGGTTTAGCGGCGGACCGTGTGGCGGCTTTCCGCCAGGCCCACCAGGGCCATCGGGACCGCCAGGGCCGGAGCCAGGACCTCCGCGCGCGCCCCTTGGTCCCTGACCGCCGGGAGGGCCTCCGCCAGGCGGACCGCGCTGCGCCAATGCGGTCGACACGAGGAGGAGGATGCACGAGAGGGTGACGAGCGCTTTGAATGCCATGGCTGGTGTCGTAGCTGCGATCGACGAATTGGCGAACGTTTGCTTCCTGCTGTCACTTGTCGCTCAGTTTTGGAGCCTAAGCTTGGGCACTAAGTTACTAGTTGCTTTGTACGGGGAATGGAATGGAAGTTGGTGATGAATGAAATGCTAGGAGAGTCAAAGGCTACTTATAATGCTAGGAAGTCAAAATCAGGAGTCAGCGACTCGCGAGTCAAACTTGGTGAAACTGTGCTTCAGGTTTGGAATTACGTATGGTATTACTAAGCCATGTAGATGTCTCGCTGATTGCACAGGTTCGGAGCAAACATGTGGAAGTTCGGTTGTAGGGCCCAGTTCGGCAGCCAGGGGGAAGCAATTTTGTAGGAAGGTTATGGGAAGGTGAGGCTCGCGTCAAACCAGGGTCAACGAATTTTGAAAATGTGGGACGATGAGAGCTGAAAATGTGGGACGATAAATCAAAGACGTCAGTCAACGCAAACAAAAGGCGACTGCCAGCAGCAGTGTTTCCTGCACATTGGCGGGTGCAGTATAAGATACAGTGCAGATAGCGAAAATGGTACTCATTATACTTTCACCTCTTCACAAACATCTAGAATGCATTTTCGCAAGTGAAAGTGCACCTAGAGTATTTTCAACCCATGCAATGCTACGAAAAAAAAAGGGAAGTCTTCTGTCATATTTTGTACGGCGTCCACCCCACAATAACGAGCCTCAGCTCTCCAAAACATGGAACTTTCCCTGCTAGAGCCTTCCCCCGATCTATTCCATATTGGCAGAACCATCACGCATGCTCTCCTCTGCTGCCTGCTGCTCCTTACCCCCCTGCTGCTGCCCATCCACCTCGATCTTCTTTCCCCTGCTGCACTTTCCCCAGCAATTTATCCTGCTCTGCCGTCAGCGACTTCTGCTCTCCCTCTCGCTCGGGCTTCTCTTGCGCGCGCAGCTTCTCCGTCGCTCGCTGCAAGTTGAGGTACTCAAAGACAGCCACGTTATGGATATGGCAGTCGTCCTTGATGCACAGGTACCACCCCCACGCGTTCCCTGCGACGTCTGAGCTCTACTTTAGGTTACTCTGTCTTGGCAGATCGATCAGGTGCACTCTCCTCTGCTGACTGCTGCTGCTTGCCCCCCTGCTGCTCATCCACCTCCTCTTCCTTCCCCTGCTGCACTTTCTCCTGCGTTTTCTCCTGAGATTTCTCCAGCAATTTCTCCTGCTCTGCATTCTGCGCTTTCTCTCGCGCGCGCTGCTCCTCTCTCGCTCGCTGCGAGTTGAGGTACTCAAAGACAGCCACGTTGCGGATATGGCAGTCGTCCTTGATGCACAGGTACCGCCCCCACACGCTGTCGGAGATGGCGGGGAAGAAGGGCGCAAACACACGGTGCACCACGTAGAACCAGAAGGAGGCCGAGAGGATTCCGAGGGTGAAGCCAGCTAGAACCTGAAGGCGGGAAGGCGGAGGAGATAGGAAAATGTGTATGTGAATGTGGCTGTAAAATGTGAAGGTGGATGGGGATGGGCATGTCACATGTGGATGTGGCAGTCGTCCTTGATGCACAGGTACCGCCCCCACACGCTGTCGGAGATGGTGGGGAAGAAGGGCGCAAACACACGGTGCACCACGTAGAACCAGAAGGACGCTGAGAGAATGCCCAGGGTGAAGCCGGCTAGAACCTGAAAGGCGGGTGTGAATGGTGAGTGAAGGGACGAAGAGTGGTAAGGTGAAGCAAAGAAGGGTGCGAGCACACGGTGCACCACGTAGAACCAGGTGGAGGCCAAGAGGATTCCGAGGGTGAAGCCTGCTAGGACCTGAGGGATGGACGTAAGGTGGGTGAAGAAAAGGTGGGGAGGGAAGAAGAGGATCGAGGTGAAGAGAAGAAGGGCGCAAGCACACGGTGCACCGCGTAGAACCAAGTGGAGGCGGAAAGGTTGCCGAGGGTGAAGCCTGCTAGAACCTGGGGGCGGGTGTGAAGAGAGTGAATGGACGAAGAGTGGTAAGCTCGCGGGGAAGAAGGGCGCAAACACACGGTGCACCACGTAGAACCAGGTGGAGGTCGACAGGATTCCATTATGCAGGAGCGGGCAGAAAAAGAATGTAAAATGCGGTAATTGTCGTTAATGCACAGGTAGACACACGGTGCATCAGGTGAAACCAGGTGGACGCAGAGAGGATGCCCAGGGCGAAGCCTGCGAGGACCTGATGGGCGGGGAAGGGGCGGAGTTACGAGTATTTGGATGTAGCAGTCGCCGTTAATGCACAGACACACACACACACATGGTGCACCAAGTAGAGCTGGACGATTTTTTTGTCGATTTAAAAACTGCCTCGTTCCAGAGAGAACCAGACGGAGGCGGCGACTCGGCGAGGATGCCCAGGATGAAACATGCAAGAACCCGGGGGGCGGGAAAGGGGATGAGGTAGGAGGAGAACGTAACGGTGAATTGAGGTGGCTGTGAAACGCGCATTTGAATGTGGATGGGGATGGGGATGGGGATGGGAATGGGGATGGATGGGGATGGGAATGGGGATGGGAATGTGAATGCGCAGACGTTCTTGATGCGCTCCCTGAAATGGTTGGTTGGGGAGAAAGAAGCATTCGTTAGTGGCAGTTCACTTTTGAGGCGCCTCAACAGTTCACTTCACAAACTGGTTTGGGCATGCCCGGGGCACAGACGCACTGGCAAGAGGGAAGTGGGTGACATGGGGTGATGAGGGGCATGAAAAGAAAGAGGGGGAGGGTGGTTAGGGGGCATGCAAGAAGGGGGGGCATGAGGGGGTAGGGGGCATGAGAGAGGGGAGAGGGAGGGGGTGGTTAAGGGGCATGAAAGAGGTGGGTGACATGAGGTGATGATAGGGGCATGAAAAGAAAGGGGAGGGAGGGGGTGGTTAGGGGGCATGAAAAAAGACGGGGCATGAGGGGGTAGGGGGCATGAAAGAGTGGGGGGAGGGATGAGGAAGGGAAGAGGGCATAAAACGGAAGGGGGGCATGAAGGGGGAGTGGAGGGGGGCATGAAGGGGGAGTGGAGGGGGGCATGAAGGGGGAGTGGAGGGGGGCATGAAGGGGGAGTGGAGGGGGGCATGAAGGGGGAGTGGAGGGGGGCATGAAGTGGGAGTGGAGGGGGGCATGAAGGGGGAGTGGAGAGGGGCATGAAGTGGGAGTGGAGGGGGGCATGAAGGGGGAGGGGGCAAGTGAATGAAGGGTGAATGGAAGAGGTGGTTTTAGACAGACTGTGAAGGGATGGGAGGAACCGGGAAAAAGAGGACGGGACTGGGAAAGGCGTGTGGCTTGACAAGTGTAAGAAGACGGGAGGGGAGTTGTGGAGGGTTAGACGATGTGCCATGTCAGGTGGATGTGCCATGTCAGGTGGATGTGCCATGTCAGGTGGATGTGCAATGTCGGATAGCTGTGCCATGCATGCAATATGGTTGTGTCACGTCAAACGCTTGGTTGGCCGTGCTTTTATTTGGTCACTGCCTCACTTCCACATGCCGCTTATCACATTGAAGAACTCTAATGAAGCTCCCCATTTACTTTCATACCCCAAATAAGCTCACCTGCGGTATCGTATGGTAACCGAGGTACACCCGCGAGGCCATGGTGAGAAAGGTGAAGGGCCACGGGAGGACGGCGGTGATCCATCGCCACCTCTCGTCCTCGTAATCCATTTTGTAAAACACGAGCCACGTCGCGAACGTCGCGAAGAACGACATGAATTGCGAATGCGCGGACGGCATGCCGTGCGAATCGCACACCTCGAGCGCCGCGCACGTGTGCGGCGGACGCGGCATCTCGAGCGCGTGCTTGATCACGTGGTTGAACGTGTCGTCCAATAGGAGACCGAGCATGAAGAACATGGTCCGCAAATCGCGGCGGAAAACCACGTGGGTGGGGAAGCAGCCGAAGGCGATGAACACGGGGACGAGCGAGGCCCATGCCATGATTACACCGAGGGGGTCATCGTGATAGTAACGAACGTGAGTAAGGTCCACCGCACGAAGCTCCATCTTGGTAAGACTTGAGATAAGCGAGACAAATCAAAGGATAAAAAACAAAAATCCCTATGAAACGGTTTATGAATATAAAAATTACACAGGAGACCTTGCGGTCTATATGGGCTAGACAAACAGGTTTGACGTGAGGTTACGGCATTGAAGGTGCTGGAATCAAGACGGCATTTGTGGCGCAAAATGCGGTCTAATTATTCCCACAGGCGAAATCGAGGCAACACTGTCCCTCTCGTGTGGTGGAGATGAAGCAAGAGCCAGCGTGTTACCAACGAGGGGATTGAATCACCCCCGCAACAATGGACGATTTCACCTGTCTCATCCCCCCTCGACCAGCCTTCGGGATGGAACGGAAGGAATGCTGTAGTGACTAATAACACTGTTTCGGTTCTTGGGAGTTGATCGGTTGTGGAATCTGTAGCTACACTGCCACAACCCCAGGTCGGGCGAGAGGGTAACCTAGACGAGGTTGTTACGGTGACGTCGTTCTGTTACGCGTGGTTTCGCGAGCGAAAACCAAATAAAATTCTGGTCCTCGCGAAACTTTTTTGGAACCGTTTGGAATCGCGAATTTCGCATTGGCGCAGTTACCAAACTGTACGATCACCAAGAAAAGTGAACTGAGTCGCAAAAAACCTCTGGCCTGTATTGTGTAACTACGCCCTGCTCGTTTAGGGGTTTTGGTTTGAAATTACAAGTCAGCCTCCTCACCCACGAGTCGTCCTTACATCGAGCAACGTATTTTCACCTTGTTTTCAAGTATCCGCTGTCGAATTACCAGCTCAGGGTGCCAGACAACTGACCAGCAACAAATTTTCTCTTTGTTCTTGACCTGTCAGTTCCAGAAATCGTCTCTCTCCGGTTAGCTTGTTTGGATTTTATCTTCTTCCTCTTGGTGAAGCAGCGAGCGACAAAATGCCCGAAAAGCGCGACGGCGATGGTCCCGAGGGGCAGGAGCTGGTATCGGCGAAGCGGCAACGGACGGATCTGGTGCCAGCGTCATCTGGGGCAGATGGCGACAAGGGGAAGCAATTAACTGTCACTAAGGACGTAAGCCATTGCCGAAATGATTTGGTCTCTCTTAATCTCCTCGTATGATGCGCGTAACATACATCTAAAGGCCGTCAGCGCGGAAAGGTGGCCTTTCTGACCGACTTAAGAAACACCCCGCGTATCCTTAATTACCATAGCAGCAGGTTCTGCTTTAGGCTGAACATGGGAGGGAGCTGGCATCAGGGGTTTAATCATGTTTGCAGCCCGTATATAGCCGTTGATTATTATCCTGGGTACGCCCCTTGTTTTTTTTTGTTTTTTTTTCTCGTCACAGATGTGCACTGGAACATTTACGTCCTAGATTTAGTACTCTGTGTTCTTTTGTGGCCGTTAGGTTGACCGTTGACCTGCTAAGGTAGACCTACCAAAGATTGTAGATTATGGTAAAATTGGTCGTTGTGAGTTTGCTGCCTCCAGCTGGCTACGTGTCATGTCATGTCACCACGATGACCGCCGCTTTGACCATCTGTACATGCGCCATTGGTATGTTTGTTGCACGATCCCACTGTGTGATGAGTGTTGCATTGTCTTGCCTTTGCACGTTGCCATTTGCACATGCAGGGAGTGAAGAGGACGTCATCGCTGCTCGCTCCGATCATGCTGCTCACAGGCCATGCGGTGAGTACAACTCACACCAACGGGCCAATTTCCATTTGCCCATCCCCCCTCTTTCTTAACCCCCCCACACGTCCCATCCCCCCTTTGTCTAACCCCCCACACGTCCCATCCCCCCATGCGCCCATTCCCCATGCGCCTATTCCCCCATGCGCCCATTCCCCCATGCGCCTATTCCCCCATGCGCCCATTCCCCCATGCGCCTATTCCCCCATGCGCCCATTCCCCCATGCGCCTATTCCCCCATGCGCCCATTCCCCCATGCACCTATTCCCCCATGCGCCTATTCCCCCATGTGCCTATTCCCCCAAGCGCCCGTCCCCCCCTGCACCTATTCCCCCATCCGCGTATTCCTGGTTTTGCCTATCCCCATCAATGCGCCCATCCCCCATCAATGCGCTCATCCCCCATTGATGCGCCCAACCCCCCATGCGCCTATTCCCCCCTGAGCCCCTCCTCCCATCTGTCCATCCCCCGTTGCACACATCCCCCTAACGAAACCATTCGCCCATGCACCCCGTTCTCGTATGCGCCCATCCCTCCACTCCTCCTTCCAGGCGGGGGTATTCACCATGAAATTCAGTCCGGACGGGGAGGTCATCGCTTCAGGTTCACAAGACAAGGAGATATGTGAGTGTGATTTTTTGTGTAATGTAATATTTTGTGAAAGCTTACTACTTTAAATGAGTGCGCTACTTTTTCTCTGTGAGTTTCACTCCTCTTCTTCCTTCCCACCCACCCACTCAACCCCCCAACCCCCTCTTATTTGCCACCTCCTCTTAGTCCAAGGGCCACAAGAACGGGCATTTTGGAGCTGCAGTGAAGCACACCTCTGTTTCCCTTCCTTCTCTCTCTTGAACCCATTTCAACCATCCCCCCACCTTTTTTCAATCATGTGTCAGGGCGACAATTTCACGGTGCTTAAGAACCACAAGAACGCTTTGCTGGAGGTGGACTGGTATTATCATGTGACATGCTATACACATACTCATCACTTACGCACTCATCACGCGTGCCTTCACCACTTCATGCTCTCATCCTGCGTCCTGCTGTTTTGTAGCGCACCATCCACCTCCCTCTAGAGACCGACACTGACTGGCACACTAAATAACTGCGCACCCCAGTTAAAATGACTTTTCTTGGATCATTTATCATGTGTGTGTGGACATGCATTAGATGAAGGGCATTCACATCCGAGAGATCTTCCAAGCAGCACGCACTTTCGCCCCGCCTGCGAGCCCCCAGCCCCAGGAGGGGCGAAAGCTCCTGCTGCTTGGAAGATATCTTGGATGTCAATGCCCTTCACGTAGTGCATGCCCACACACACATAGCGAATGACCCGGAAACCAACATTTAAAGTGGGGTGCGCAGGTGTATAGTGTTCAGGTCAGTGTTGTGTTTGTGTTTAGAGGGAGGTGGATGGTGCGCTACTTAACAGCAGGGTGCAGGACGAAAGCATGAAGTGGTGAGTGCGCGAATGTTGAATGCGCAAGTGATGAGCGCGTGTGTAGCATAGCATCTCACCTGCACCACCTTCATTGAAAAACACACTACCTCGTTGCCCCCCCTCCCCCACTTTCGTGTTCTTCCTTTTTATCGGCAGTCTTGTCCTGTGGCGCATAGAGCTAAGTTGGAATATACGCTTAGGGGCCTTAGCGTTCAGCGTTTGAACGCTAGCGTGCATACGCAATACGCGAAACGCTAGCGAATACGCTATACGCAACCCAATTTTTTTTTTGGGCAGCCCGCCCGACCCAAAAATTTTCAAACACACCAAAAGATGCGGAATGGCACGGCGAGTGATTCTGCGACGTCAGATTGCACGTCCGAGATCTAGGGTTGCGGGAAATTGGATTTATGTCCCGGTGTCGCGATTTCACTTTCACATGTTGCACGTTGACATATTGATGGTCACGTACATCGATTCGCGTGTGCACGTTTGAACATTTCTATCCCAACACGTTACCGCATTCAAACCCACAACATTCATTCAGTCCAACCCTTCCGACCCAATCCCCCGCCACTCGTCATGCAGTTTATCAACTCGTCAGAACGTCCATCCCATTCAGTAATCCTCTCCCGCTACCAACAACTAGCCTCAGTGCGATGTCATCCAGCAGTCCGCCTCTCACGCCGCATTCCGATCAGTCTGTGGAGAGTTCTATCCCTCGTCCAGAAGGGACCAGGGAGTACCTTCCCGATGTAGTCCACGATGTCTTCAAGCACTTCAGTATCATCAAGCGCGAAGAGGGCAAGGCACAGCAGTACGAGTGCAAGTACTGCTTCAAGGTCTTTTCAGGTGCCGCCATCCGATGCGCTCAGCACCTTAGCTCATGGAAGAAGATGAAGCGCCGCGAGGTGGTGCTTTGCGGGAAGGCACCTGCTGATGTTCGCCTCGAGATCCGCAAGAAGTACGAGGCGCAGGCTGCTGCGAAAGAAGAGAAACAGCGAGCGGTGTTGGCTGCTATAGCGTCGGTCAAAGCCGGTGGCAAACGGGCCCGCATGACCGACTACCTCGAGGGCGACGCTGCTGCGGCAAAAAGTGAAGCACATGAAGGTCTTGCGCTCATGATTGCCGCATGTCGCCTCCCTGAGAACCTGGTCGAACATCCGCTCTTCGTCAACTCTATGCACCTGGTCGCCCGCGCCGGGAAGGGCTACCTTCCGCCACGTCGCAAGTACATCGGAGGTGCCGGACTGCTCGCTTGCCGCAAGGGTATTGAGAACGGCTTGATGGGGATCAAGGCTAGCTGGAAGAAGACAGGTGTTACCATCGCGTCCGACATGATGACAGACAAGTGTGGCAGGCCGCAGGCGAATGTCCTCCTCGTCAACGACGCGGGCGCTGTCCTGAAGGAGTGTGTGGACTGCAACATGGAGAAGAAAACAGGGGGTTACATCGCGGGGATATTGAAACCCGTCGTGGAGGAAGTCGGACCCGAGAACGTCGTCGCGTTCTGTATGGACGGGGGTTCCAACTACGCGTCGGCGTGCCGGAAGCTGATTAAGATGTGGCCCCACATTCAACAGGTTCCATGTGCCACCCACGTCATGGACCTGATGATGGAGGACGTGGGAAAAATGGGGTGGGCAAAAAAGGTGGTTGACCGTGGCGGTGAGATGAGCTCCTTCACCCGCAACCACCATTGGACGCGCGGTTACTTGCGGGACCGTAAGTTGGT